GTCCATTTGAGAGATGGGTGGCGGTAATGCACTTATAAGTCTGCGATCTGCCATAAAGCAAGAAGAAGAAGAAGAAGCGTCACGCGCAGGCTGAAGAAGAAGACGCAAATGCGCTCAGGACAGTTCGGACATTGTGTGAATCAGAGGTAAAAAAATGACATAAATACTGTTCAGTTTCTTGCACAGACCGATCGTTTCGTGTCTTTACACATCAGTGTATCGTCACGAGCCACAGGGTTTAATTTGGTTTTGTTTGTGTATGTTTTTTTGACTCTCAAAGCCGTGATTCCCATTCACTTACATTATATGACTGACAGACTGCAACTGTTTGAGTCTCTTCGTTTGTGTTCTACTGAAGAAACAAAGTCACCTACATCTTGGATGCCCTGGGGGTAAGCAGATAAACATCAAATTTTCATTTGTGGGTGAACTATCCCTTTAACCTTCAATTTGTCTTCCCAGGTTTGCTAAGATTTGGTTTATTTACATTCAACGTTTTTATCACTTCATTCTCCAACTTCAGTTTGTATTTCTACTGAGACCATTACAGTGAATGTGAGATGCATGAACACATGCTGTGCTGTCTTAGGACAGTCTAAAATAAGATATTTTAGGAGGCAGCATAATTAAGTTACCCACCTTTTGGAACAGCCTTTGCGTTGTCAAGCGTTATGCTTTACCTTAAAATGTTGCCTCCATTAGCAGCTCACTGGGTTTTGGAACAGAGCAAACACCTGCATATAATGTCTGATTTAATGTGAAGCCACAGAGCCCAAAAGAGCTGTCTGTGGTCCTGAAAATGCTCATACTATTGAGTATCTACTGGCTGCTGTCCATGGTGCTAAAATCATCTGCAGGCACCTTCAGCTGCTTTAGGGCAGTTTTCACTTTATCTCTCGGTGTCGCCGGCTCATATGGTGCTTGTTTGAAAACGTCATCCAACCTGAGAGCGCTTTTGAAAGTGATTGACAGGCCAGTTAAAGAAGTGAGTAAGCTTGCTGTCAGGGAGCCCTAGTTGATGTGTCTGATTATAGGAACTCACAGATAGGTAGCTGTCAGCTGAGCGGATTTGGCCGGTTAGACATTTTTGCTTCATTTTGAATGAATCAGTGACTTTTCTGCTAGAGCTGACGTATAACTCCTGAATTTTTGTTACAGGGTCACGTGATGGTCTCTCAGCGATGTCTGGAACGCTGCCTCACTTTCTGCAGGAGCCCGATGATGCGTACATTGTCAAAAGCAACCCCATCAAGCTACGTTGCCGTGCACGTCCTGCCCTCCAGATCTTCTTTAAATGCAACGGGGATTGGGTCCATCAGAACCAACACACTTCCTTGGAGCACACTGAACTAGGAACGGGTAAATACCCATGTGCTGTCCTTCTCTTTAAAGAAATAGTTCACCCAAAAAAAGAAATTTTGCTGAAATTTACTGAAATTACCCTCAGGCTATACAAGACATAGATAAGTTTGTTTATTCAGAGGATCCATTGGTGAGCAAGAGATGTAATGATAAATTTCTTCAAATCTGTTCCGATGAAGAAACAAACTGCATTTTGGATGGCCTGAAGGTGAGTAAGTTTACAGCAAATTTTCATTTTTGGGTGGACTATTCCTTTAATGCACCTTATATCTGTCTGTCAGTGCCTGCTGGGAGAGTGGCATCCAGAATGTAAAATCCTACAGCAGCAGACGTTCGGCTCAACTTTTCGCAGCTTTCATCTTTCAGTTCACTCTCCATCAAACATAGTGTGCTATCTGTAAGAGCTTGAAAGAGACTGATTGTTGCATTTAGTGTTTGCTGGTGCAAATTCTAAACCCCCCCCCGCCGGATCAGTACTTGACCCAGGCGTGAATTGCTGCTTTATATTCAAAAATGTTTGAAAAGTAGCCTGGCTCATTTCAGGCATGTTTTTACCTTTTGTACTTATTTCTTTCATCCTTATCTGTTATTGATAAAAGATATTCACTTCTGGTGAAGTTTAGAGTAGATATTTCTACGCATGTGTACCGAACAAATACAGCATTATTTTAACCACTGCACGAGCGGAACTTCATTGGAAACTTCCAGTTTTATATACTGTTCCTTTTGATAAGAAACAAAGTCTCATCTTTCAAATTATGTCTTTTTCAGGAAATTCAAACAATAAATGCCGTTTTGACGCTTTTTGATGTGGCGCGACACGTACTAAATGCCTTAGGACAAGCGGCAGCGTGAAGCACGAGTGAGCGTGATCATCCCTTTCTCTTTACTACTAGGTTTAACGCAAAATAAATGAATGAACACCTCCTGCCTCATGTAATCGCTCAATCAGTGTTTCAACCTGGGAAAGACGGCAATAAAACAGCTTGTAAACAAAATGTCACATAGCATTTAATTTACCTCAGGAAGTCATCAGTGTCCACAGCTTGCTAGTGCGCTATAAATGAAGTCTAGAAAAGAGCTTTTCGCGAATTATTAGACTATATACTCATTATATTTTACTTTACATGTTAGTTATGTCTTATTTAATGTTTAAATAAATCTATTATGGAACAAGTTATGAGAGGCACTGTGTAAATTAATATATTTCAACAACAAATAGAATTTTTATAATTTAGAAGTTAATTTGTTTGCATGCATTTTTTTAAAGTTGAGTGTTGCTTGTTATATTTAAAAATAAATAGTAATTAAATTTAAGT